GATCCTATTCGACGTTATTTTACAGAATAAAATATTTATAAACTTCCCTCATTTTTAGCTTTAACAATTTATCTTAGATATAGTACAATGAAAACGGTAACGACAAACTATTCGATTTGAAGTCAACTCTCTAAACATGAATATTTAATTATTATCCGTTATATCTTTGAATACAAATAGTTAGTCAATAGGTCATTATCTCGTGGAAAAGTACTGCATCGAATTTTATATAAGATATGAAAATTTTATTTCTTATAGGCTATTTGATGTGCTGGACATCTGCTCGATAAAACTACACATATATGTGATATCATGATTGAAGATAGATTCGCAACATTCGACAACGTTTCTATGAATCGTTATTGTGTTAAAATTGAAATAATAATTCTTTTAAAATTGATTATATTTTAGAATATTTTAATTATTTCGTTGATCATCTTCATCTAATCAACTATGAAATTCTCCAATGAATTTCTTCTGGTTATTTTGTTAATAAAAATGATCATTATTATTTTTATCATATTCATCAGTAAGATAATTTATAGTTGGTTTTTTTTTAAAGTAATTCTAGTTATCAATCTAGAGAAAGTCGTATATAATCAGACGATGATCATATTGATCATTCTCATATTCGAACTCATGTAATCAATAAACTGAAGAAGATTTTTTAACAGTATCAATTGAACGATTATCTCTATAAAAAATAAGGAAAGACTATTATCATTATTTACTTAGGGTTATCCAAAAGTAGTGAGGGAGGCTCTTTTTTTCTTATAGAAAGCTTGAAAAAAATTTCTTTTTTTATGAATAGATAAAGCGTCTTTTGCTCTATTTTTCTATGCTATTTGATCACTATTAAACTAATATCATAATAAAAAAATTTCGATAAGAACAATTTTTGTTGAAAATCAGCTGGTAGCATTTAGATCATAATGAGTGTGACATTAAAAATGGAACACTTTTGCTGTTCATTTTATTATCACTCAATAAGTTGTATTAAAAAAAAAATATATACTAGAAGATGCAGCGTGAAAAGCTCTACAATTTGTAAAGTACCGCTTATTTCATAGTTGTACTCTTTGTTTTAAAAATGGTCAAAACTCTGAGTTACCAAGTTTCGACATGATGAAAACGAGACTTTTTTCGGTAAAAAAAAACAAATTCGGTTTTTTCTATATTATCTTTATAGAATTGTTCTTTGTAAATTGTAGAGCTCTTCACGCTGCATCTTGCAGTGTATTTTACTTTTTAAAGTAAAACGTATCAAGTAGTAAAAAGATGAGATAGGAAAAACGGAATGCATCTTTTCCAAAAAACAACCTCGTTTTCGCAAACGTCGAAATTTGATAGCTCAGAGTTTTGTTCATTTTTACAACAAAAAGTACAACTATAAAATAAGTGATACTTTATAAATTTTAGAGCTTTTCACGCTACATCTTCTGGTATATTTTGTTTTTTTCAATACATCATATTATGTGATAAAAAAGTGGAATACGAAAATACCACATACATTATGATCTAAATGCTACCAGCTGATTTTGAACAAAAATAGTTCTTATCGAAATTTTTTTATTATGATATTAGTTTAATAGTAATCAAATAGCATAGAAAGATAGAGCAAAAGACGCTTTATCTATTCATAAAAAAAGACATTTTTTTCAAGCTTTCTATAAGAAAAAAAGAGCCTCCCTCACTATTTTTGGATAACCCTAAGTAGAACAAATGGCCAAACTATCAAATCAACAAACTTTAATACGATTTTTTTGGTGATGATTGTCATCGAATAAATAAAAAAGCCTAGTCTAAATGTCAACAACATCATTTGGAATGTACACTTTTATTTAATTAATAGGAGAGAGATGATTTTATTTTAAAAACAAATAAAAAAAAACCCTCTATTTATCGGTGTGTTTTCGATATTTGTTTCTATACATCTATTGATATTGTATTTTCTTTGTCTTTAGAAGTTTTTCTTCGTAAATTAAGCTTTTTCTGTATCCGTTTCTATATGGAGATAAAATAATTATTCATGACGAATAAAGATAAAAAAAAAATAATATTATATTTCACTATAGACACGTCTATTTTTTCTTTTCATCTTTCTCGATTTGGATTATTTTTATTCGATTTAATCTTGTTAATGAACAATGGTTTTTATATAAAAACAGTGTCTATTTTGATCTTATTTTATTTCTAGATTGATATTTCTTTCTCATTTCAGCTTGTACGAACGTAACGGGATGACGTTTTGACCACAGTTTTATTAAGTTTTCTCAGCAATTAGATTACCCAGAGGGTTTGCTCTTTCATTGTAAGATGTATTTCTCCGCTCTGAAAAATCCCTGAAAATATGAGCTCATTTGAGCAAGGTGTTTAAAAATTATAGTAAAAATATATGGCGTAACGCGATGATGAGAAAAGGACAAAAAATTGAGGGCCACCTGATTGTTCTTTATTTCTCTGTGAATGTATGCTATGTTCAAGGAAGCCTTCTATGGACGTTTTGTTGCCAACAGTTTGAGGTATCCAACGGAGAAAAAATTCTTCGAATAGGCTTCCTATTTTGAATAGAAATCAGTTTTATTAACGTAACGCGATAGCGATGACTCTTGAAGCTTTCAGCACCTAAAAACCTGGTTTTTGAGTAAAAATGCATTTTTTTATAATTAAAATGGCTATTTTTTTCTAGTAAAACAGTGTTTTCCTAGTAGAAATCCTCGTTTTCTGGCACTTAATTGCAAAAAAATGCCTGTTTAAATATTAGAAAAGTTTTTCAAAAATCCTTGGTTTTCTTCTTAAAAACTAATCCACAATAGAAAGCCATCTTTGGACGAGCGATATAAATTTCCATGATAGAAGGTCATGACCTTTTATTTCAGGGGGCATGTTTGTGACTTTCTTCAGATTCAGTTGGAATATTATTACATGCTATCAAAAGATAATTCTTAAAGTTTGGATAAATCTATCGAATCTCAAAAATATAAACTCTAGTAATCCTCAGAAATATGTTCAATAAAATTTTATAACCTTATAAATTACTTGAAATGTTTAAGAATAAATTAGATTTCATTTTTCGACATGTATTTGTAACATTGACTAAACTGTATTCATAAGAATCTGATTTATTTGCATTACTTCTATTCATCTTAGTTTTTAATCAGTAACTATCATGAGTTATTTTTCTCGAGATTTTTATCCAGCTAACATCGAGTCATGTTTGAATTATTGTACCTAATTCATATATTATGAATAGAATTATAAAACTCATTTCGTCTTATATACATTCTACTACACTCATGAGAATTCTTATATTATTAATGATTTGTTTTTATCATCAGTAGAACAATGCTTTATTCGATGTTTTCAAAAATAGTCCCAATGAAATTTTTAGACCACATTGGGATTACAGAATACGATTTGTATATGGTTAAATTATCATAAATAATTAAACCTCTGAGGAAACTCATCCTTTTCTGATCGGAAATTTCTAAATTTCTAAATTTTTTATTTTCATCTGCTGTGTGTACAGTTTAAAGTATCCTCTATCAATTGAACAGATTTCAAGAATTAATATATAACTATAGAATTCGAAACAGATAGGACATTTTCGCTGAAAAACATAAAAACTAACACATTATTTCGCTGTTTAGGGAGAAAAACGAGCTTTTTTGCAAAAGAAAAGTGAAGAATCACCTCCCTCCGTTTCTCAACCACAGTACATCTGATCGAACTGAAACGTTCTTCTACTCATATAGAAAGTGATTAGAGTGTCTACTTAGTTTTTTATTTCAAAATATGATGTACTGTTGCAGTGTTTTATCCAGCGGGGTACCCGAGGGGACCGCGTCCCCCCCCCCCCCCCGGTACTCTCAGAATTTTAAGTGATAAAGAGAAACAAAAAAGAATTAGTCAACTCAAATAGTGTGTAGTATTTGTAAAAAATTTTTAGTCCTCTCAGACATATTGTAGCTGAGAAAGGAGGGCAATTTTTCGCCTATGTGGTTCCAATATTTCCTACAGGAAAGCATCCAGGAATTTTGAGTTTATGATAACTTTTGTTCTATTCATCAAGATCTATCTGCCTCGAAAGTTTCAATATTTATCGATGAGCCATTTTTCGAAAGTGCCAACAAGTGGAAGGATCTTCTTTATAAAAAGATCCTATATTTCATCTAAACATTAGTTTAAAATCATTCGAATTAAATTTTGGATCACTAAGAAATGTATAATTGTATATATTATTTAAATATCTGAATTTTCATATAGTTTCAAAAGACAAGATCATTATTCTTTACTTGTTCGTTTATCAAATTATAACTTTTGATTTATTTATCATGAAACAATTTGAAAATTTTTCTAGGATGATGATATCCGTCGATCATTCGTTCAGTCAACATTAATTGTTTATCATGAAAAAATTCGTACATCAAGTATATATATTCATGATACAAGTTTTATATCGCCATATGCATTACTTTTTTTTGGTAAAAGTCAATTAACAACAGAAATATCTACAAATACAACAAATGATAATAATGATAATATAATTTTAATTGATAATTGGATATAAAATAAATATTGATAATAAAACAAATGAATTAATTTATGTATTAAAAGAAAAATTTAATTATTTAGTTGAAAAAAAAGCATTAAAGAAAAATATTTTTCTAGATAATGAACAACATTTAATTGAAACAATAATTCATTTTATAACAAAACGAAATAAAAATTTATTAATACAAAATAAATTAATTGATGATTATTCGAAGAAAAATATTATTTATGAAGATTGAGATGATTATGATGATATAAAAGATTTATCAAATACAAATTCTTCTGTATTTAATCAGAGTTAAATCTTTATTTTGTTTCATATATAGTATATAGATAGATATAGATATTGAAAAACAAAGATTTTCAATTAGATTCGAATTGTTTTGTTTACATTTTTTGTTTTAGATATATATTTTTCTAGATTTTATTTTCATTTGGACAATGTAATGTCGAATATTCCGAATGAAGTAATACTACCGGTGCATATAAATCAACAACAATCACCGCGAATACCATCACCTACAGCTGATGGTGATACAATGGAACGACTCGTTCAAGCATTATTCTATCGTATTGCTGTTCTTTATGCTCGAACTATTCCTAAACATATTCGTCGATTAGGAGAAACAGCAATACGTGTTATGGTAGAATAAATAAAATTTATTTAATAAAAACAACAGCAAAAAAAGAATTCATTATAATTTAATTCGATTTTAGGCAATTATTTGTATTATTTTACTTATTTATCTTCATGTTGTATTCAATCAAAAACGAGTAACATGTCTTTCTCATTTACATGATCATTGGCCAAGACAAGGTGTACTTCGTGTTGAATTGTTTTTTGAATCTCCACCAGAAGGTTATAATCTTCAACAATCGTATGCTAAAGAATTTCAATATAGTCATTTCTATAATTATGACGAGAATCAATTAAATCAGTCTATATCAAAACAAAACGAAGGAGTAAGAAGAAAAAAGATATATATATGGGCTTTTCTTTTTCGTGTATATTAAATTTTTCTTTTCATTATTATTATTCAAGATTCTTCCTGTTATTGAAATTCCGATTGAACCGTTAGAAAGTGATTTATTAAAAGAATCTTATCCAAATATGAGTATTAATTCTTCTTTATTAACATCAATTGATTATTCAAGTAAATCCATAATGAAAAATGAAGCAATAGAAACTGCTCAAATTATTGATGATAATTATTTATCAGAATCACAAGATAATCATGATAATGAATCGTTATTTGATTATTTATTTAATTTTGATTGGATTAAACAATTATTAATTGAAGAACATTATATTCTTGAATATTCAATTGAATATGGATTTTTACGTTTATCACCGGAAACAAGACAAAGACTTAATATTGAAGTTTTACTTGTTACATTAGGTAAAAAAAACAAAAAAGAAGTATTAAAAATTTGCTTTATCATTTATTAAAAACTGAAGAAAAGATCCACTACTATCTTTTAACAAGTTCTTTTTTTTATTATCCAAAGTCCATTTGTGTAATATATCGGGTGTCCCAGGAATAATGAGCCTCCCAGTATTTTTAAGATTTCCTGTCTATTATCACTGTAAGTAAAGCTGTCTTAATTATCAAAAGAAAGCGCTTAAAATTCTCTACAAAA